CGCCCCTCGCCCTGGGCTAGGGGGGGAGGCGGAGGTGGACTGCGAGCTGACCCTGCCCTGTCTTCTCTCCCCGCAGAGCTCACCTTCCAGCAGCCCTACGACCAGGCTCACCTGCTGGCCGCCATCCCGCCGCCCGAGGTCCTCAACCCCAAGGCCTCCCTGCCCACGCTCATCTGGGACTCCTTGCTGGTACCCCAGGCCCAGCCCCTGGGCTGGGGCACCCCAGAGCCCCAAGAGAGCCTCAAGGCCGGGGAGCTGACTTCCCTGTCGGATGAAGACAGCGGGAAGAGCTCTCAGCCGCCCAGCCCGCCCTCGCCGGCCGCGTCCACCTTCTCCTCCACCTCTGCCTCTTCCCTGGAGGCTGAGGCCTACGCCGCCTTCCCCGCCTTAGGCCAACTGCCCAAGCAGCTGGCCCTCCACCCCCGGCTCTCCGGGGCCAGGGACCCCCAGGCCCGGAAGGCCTTCAACTGCAAATACTGCAACAAGGAATACCTCAGCCTGGGCGCCCTCAAGATGCACATTCGCAGCCACACGCTGCCCTGCGTGTGCGGGACCTGTGGGAAGGCCTTTTCCAGGCCCTGGTTGCTGCAGGGCCACGTCCGCACCCACACCGGTGAGTGTCCCTGTGCCCCCCCTCACCACCTCCCCCCCCCTCGCCCCTGCCTGGTGGTGCCTGGGGCTCCAGCTCCCTGCCAGCCCGTGGAGGGGGGTTGGGCAGAAGCGGGCCTGGCGGGGCAGGGTGTGGCAGGGTGTGGGGGGGGCCAGGGTGTAGGGTCGGCCAGGGTGTAGGGTCGGCCAGGGTGTAGGGTCGCAGGGTGTAGGGTCGGTGCCTTCCCACCCTGCCCTGCAGATCCGAGAAGGAGCCAGTGACACCTTGTTGTTTACTGCCGCACAGGATGCGCCCACCTTCCCCACCTGTGCCCTGCTCCTGCCTGGCCAACACTCTGGGGCTCGGGGTGGGGAGGGGGCATAGGGCAGGCGCCCAGGAAGAGTGCATGCCCAGAACCCAGGCACAGGGCTTCCAGAAAGTGCCGGTAGCCCTGGGTGAGCCTGTTCAGGCCTGAGGGATGGCGGAGGCTGAAGGTGGGGAATCCCCGCACAGCCCCTGCTCGCCAGGGCCCCTTCCCACCCGGCCCAGGCTCATGCCACATGGAGCGCTTCAAAACAATGCGGAACTCTGTGCTGAGGCCTGGCAGCTGCCCCTTCAGAACCTGAATGGTGGAGAATGTTGGGGAGGCATTTAGAGAGAGCCTGTGGAGGAAGAAGGCCCAGGGTCACAGCTCCGTCCTGAGACAGGCGCCCGAGGGCCACGGTTGGCCCAGGTGGCTGAACTGAGCGGTCGGGGCCAGGCACCCCCCACCCCCGTGCATTCTTCTACTGAATGCACACATAGCACAACCTGTAAAGGTCCAACAAAGGGGACTCCGTTTGGAGAGTGAGTCAAGCCCTTGCGGTGCTCTGGGGGCCCCAGTCCTGCCCTCCCACACAGACATTGTTTGAATGCAAAGGCACGGCTCCCTCAGCCCCCATTGACATGCGCCCATCCTTCTGGACCCCATTGTGTGCTTAATGGTTAGGCACAGTGGGGGGGTGAGGAGCAGGTGCACCGGGCAGTGGTGCCCGCACCTGTTCCCGCCGCAGCTGCTACCCATGGTGTGACAGGCCCTTTTAATCCGGGGGTATCGCGTGTAAGGTGCCCCCCTTTGTCCCCGCCCGCCTGGTGCTGATTTCACCCTTGCCAGGAGCACCAAAAAGGCGGCTGAGGGGTGGAGGGAATGGGGGGGTCGCGACAGGGTGCCATGTGCTCCACAAGCCTTTAGTTGACCCTCAACTACTGACAGCTTCAGCGGGGACTGGGTGGGAGGCCTGCAGCCCGCTCAGCCCCCCCCCCCACAAGGGCTCCCACCCTAAGGTGGCCAGCCCCGCCTGGCCACACCCACTAGGCCTTGGCGATTCTTTGCCAGCTGGTCCTGCATTCCAGCACTGGCCTGGAGGGATGTTGAAGGTTAGAGCAGTGCTTGGCCCCGTAGGAGCTCAGTAGATGTTTCTCTGATGAGTTTTGATTACACCCTTAGGGGAAAAAAAAACCCAATGCCATCAGCTCCTGGCTGGGGCAGGGGCTGGGCTCCAGGGTCCTTGGCAGTCTTTTGGGCTGTTCTGTGTGAGCCACACTCCCAGTTCTGGTTTTGTGCTGGCTCATGGGGATGTCTTGTGAGCGCTTACAGAGCACTTTCTGCACAGTTCAGACCTCACACACCTTGTCCAGGGCCACAGACAGGTTTGTCTGAGGTACGGCCCGGCCAGTGCTGTGGTGGGGAGGGGGGACCCCGGAAGTCTGCCCCTCTAACTTGGGCCCCAAAGACAATAAAGTAATGGCCACAAGGGCCTTGCCTTGGTCAAGGCCTGGGACCTGCTGGGGGGTCCTGGAGATGTCACTGGGCTTCTGTGCCTCAGTTTCCCCCTCCCTATGCGAGGCGTGCAGGACGATCGCCTGCCTGTGGAGTGAGTCAGTAGTCTGCTTGTGGGGCCCCTCTGCACCTGCGGGGTGTGAGGATGCTCGGCCTGCGCTTAGTCACGGTCCTGACTCCCCAAGGCGAGAAGAGAGGCCCCGGACACCGCCGTTTCCCTGGGCCATGGGACCCTCCCGGCGCCTCACCCCCCACCCCTGCGCTCTGCCCTCTCCCCAGGCGAGAAGCCCTTCTCCTGCTCACACTGCAGCCGGGCCTTCGCCGACCGCTCCAACCTGCGCGCACACCTGCAGACGCACTCGGATGTGAAGAAGTACCAGTGCCCTGCCTGCGGCCGCGCCTTCTCCCGCATGTCCCTGCTCCACAAGCACCAGGCGTCCGGCTGCACCGCGGGCCCCCGCTGACTCTCCCTGCCTGGGCCAGAGGCTCCCGAGGCTCTGGAGCTGCTGTGTGGCCCACAGGACTCTAGCTCCGACCTCTGCCCTGGCCTTGGAGGCCTTCAGTGGGAACAGGTGGCCGCCCACCCGCCACTGTGGAGCCACTCACGCAGGCCCAGGCCCGCTGGGTTTGTGCATCCTGAGCTGTTAGCTGTTAGCTGCAGCCGCTTTCCAGCTACAGAAGCCATCAGACCGGCTTTCCAGCTACAGAAGCCATCAGACCGGACCAGGACACTCCCACTCCACTCAGGGGACCCCACTCTCCCCTTCCCTCCCCCCAGGAACCCTCAAGCCACCTTCCTGGGTGCAACTATGCAGCGATCGTGGGACAGGAGTGGGCAGGAGGCCACCTAGCCTGGAGGTGGCCCCTGTGTGTCACTGTGACACCTGGTTTACTCTCAGGAACTGAGTGACAGCCCTCAGCCTGTCCTGTCCAGGGGCCACAGCCTGGCCCCAAGGCCCCAGACCCGCTCTGGGACCGACAGGTGTGGGAGGAAGATGTTTACATTTTTAAAGGTACACTGGTATTTATATTACAAGCAGCATTTTTTGTATTAAGGAAACATTTTGTATAGTTATATATACAGTTTATTGATGTTCAATAAAGTGGTTAATTTATATGTTAGCAGCATTCCCTGGCCCCGCGGGGTGGGCACTAAGGAAGGGAAGAAGGCCCGTGGAGCTGGGCCCTGCCTGGCGGGGAGTGGCAGCCCCTGGCCGATGCGGCCTGGAAGTAGACATTGGATCCAAACAGGCCACAGGGCCACAGCTGCCGTGGCTGTGCGCCCCTGGGCGGGCTTCCGGCCGTCCTTCCTGCCTCTGGGCCTCTGTCAGGCAGGCCCACACCTCGTCTGGCTGCTGGGTACCAAATGGCCTTTGATGCCAGGAAATTGGCCGGCTGGAGCCAGGAGGGTGAGAAGCGGGGCCAGAGGGTAGGGGTCACCGGACTTCCTGCGTGGATGGGGGGACAGCCGCTTGCCCGGTGTAGGGCAATCACGGCTGGCCGCTGCTGCTGGTGATGTCACCTCTGGGGGCCCCCTGGGGCCAGCAGAAAATGAGTGTCCTTGCTGAGGACAAAAGGTGCCAAAGGTGCCAGTTTCCTGCGGGGCGTCCCGGGCGGGCTGCGGCCCCAGCTCAGCCCAGTCAGGCTGGGATGGGGGCGGGACGGGCGGCAGGGGTGGGGGGGGTCGGGGGAGGGGGGAGGGCTCCAGGCTCCAAAGGAGAGATGAGTCTTTCTTCTAAACAGGAAATGGTGACCCGCAGGCCGGAGCAGCCCTTAATGGCTTGCAGCTTTCCTCTCCAAAGGGGGGAGAAAAATGTTCTCTGACAATCACCAAATTGTGGTTGGCGTCCCAGAAGGAAGTTGGGGGGGCTGAGGGCCGACTGTGTCCCAGGCCCTGTGGGCCCCTGTGGGTCAGAAGGTCCCCCAGTGGGTGCTGAGGCTATGGAGTGAATGACCTCATACAGGCCCCGAGGGACCGGCCTCTGGGAGGCTGGCCTGAGGTCACCCCAGCCTGAGCTACCTGAGCCCAGTCACGCTGGACTTCAGGTAGGGCTGGCTCATGCTCCGGACTGTCCCAGTGCAGGAGCACGCAGCCCCCCCCCCAGACTCCCCCCCAGCTTCTGCCCCTGGAATGGGGAAGAGCCTGCTTCCTGCCCAGACTGAGATGAGATGTCATTTGCTCATTCACTCGTTCGGTGTCGCACTGTGGCACTGGGCATATTGGCCCAGGTCTCAGCCCTGGGGGACAGCTGCCCGCCGGTCCCTGTGCTGGGGGAGCGATTAAGTCAGCGTCTCTCCCCCCCATGCTGGTGGAGGCTGGGAGGTTGGAGAGCAGCCCCTGGGCTTCCAGAGTCCTGGGAGGACGGCGGGTCCACCACGGCCAGGCCGGGGAGAGCTGGGGGAGGCTGCGAGGAGCAGGGCAGGGGCCGGGCAGGGCCCTGCTCTGACATCTGGGCTGGGAGGTGGCATTTGTCCCAGCTTGGAGGCCAGCCCCAGGCCTTGCTTGCTAAGGCTAGTCACCTGGGGGGAGGGGGGCAGGGTTTAGGGTCAGAGAGGAGGAAGTGTGTGGGGACAGGTGACAGTGCCATGGCCCAGGGCTGTGTCTGGGTTTGTGCCCCAGCCGAGGAGCTCCTGGCTGGGAGACCAGTGGATGCCACTGCCCGGCCCGCAGCACAGACAGAGCTCAGCCAGACAGCCAATGAAAGTGGGTCCCTGGAGGGGGGGGGGAATGGGTGAATGGGGCAGGGGGGAAAGTGAGGGGTGTGTGTGTGTGTGCGCACACGTGCTGGTACTGGGGCTTGAACTCAGGGCCTGAGTGCTTCCCGAGCTTTTTTTTTTTTTTTTTTTTTGCCGGTCGTGGGGCCTGAGCTCTGGGCCTGGGCGCTGTCCCTCTGCTCTTCAGCTCAAGGCGAGCGCTCTACCACTTCCAGCTTTTTCTGCTTATGTGGTGTTGAGGAATCGAACCCAGGGCCTCAGACATACAAGGCAAGCACTCTACCACTGAGCCACCTTCCCAGCCCCTCCCTGAGCTTTTTTTTTTTGACTCAAGACTGAGGCTCTACTACTTGAGCCACAGCTCTACTTCTGGCTTTTTGATGGTTCATTGGAGGTAAGAGGCTGTGATTCTTAGATTTCAGCTTCCTGAATAGGTAAGGCTAGGATGATGGGTGTGAGCCCCTGGTACTTGATAAGGTTTTTAAATTTAATTTGTTATTGTTATTATAAAGGTGATATACAAGGGGGTTACAGTTACATAAGTCAGGTCAAGTGCATCTTGCTGGGCACTGGTGGCTCACGCCTGTCATCCTAGCTACTCAGGAGGCTGAGATCTGAGGATCGTGGTTCAAAGCCAGCCCAGGCAGGAGAGACCATGAGACTCCTATCTCCAATAAAACCACCAGAAAACTAGAAAGTGACTAAAGTGGTAGAGCACTAGCCTTGAGCTGAAAAGCTCAGAGACAGTGCCCAGGCCCAGAGTTCAAGCCCCATGACCAACAACAACAACAAAAAGAGTGCATTTCTTTTTGGACAATGTCACCCCTTCCCTCATTCCACCTGACAATTTCTTTTTTTTGGCGGGGCGGGGGGGGCCCTGAGCACTGTCCCTCAGCTCTTCAGCTCAAGGCTAGCGCTCTACCACTTGAGCCATAGCAGCACTTCTGGCTTTTTCTGCTTACATGGTGCTGAGGAATGGAACCCAGGGCCTCATGCATGCAAGGCAAGCACTCTACCATTGAGCCACCTTTCTCCAGCAGACAAGTTTTTGAGATAGGGTCACTACATAAGCTCAGGCTGGCCTCAAACTCTCGGTCTTCTGACATCAGCCTCCTGAGTGCTAGGATCACAGGTTTCTGCACCCTGGGATTGAACTCGGGGCCTCATGGGTGCATTCTCACCCACCCTGGGCTCAGTCATCCATGGTGACTGACCCGGCATGGCGGCAGCGTTTTGGGAGGGCTGTGTGGGAGCTGGAGGCTCTGATCCGGGATGGGCCCCCACGTCCTGTCTTGTTCCTTTGCCTGCTGTTCTGAGGGCTGCCTCGGGTCCGAGTTGCCCGGGTCCTCACCAGGCCGGTGCTGCGCCTGCGTCCCCCGGTGCTGCCGTGCTGAGACACAGCTGTGGGTCGGGGGTGGCGCCAAGAAGCTCCTGCATCCCCCCAAACCCTCACTCTGGCTGGGCATCAGCTTACATCGATTGCCACCACACGCGCTGTCACCTGGGCGGCCTTGACCCTGGGGAGCTTCGAACCCTCCATCCCTGTCCACTTTGGCCATTGGCTTCCTCCCCAAGAGCTGGCCCCTGTGTTGGGCAGCAGGGCGCTGAGGCCCGGTGGGGGGCCAGCCAGCAGGACACGGGATCTGGCCTGGACATTAGATCCCCCCCTCCCCCTCCCCCCGCCCCAGATTTGCTCTAAAATGACTCCAGGAAATCAAGGGCTGTAAAGGGTCTGTGTGAGCATCCAGGCAGGCTGTCCGGCGGCCCGGCCACCTCTGGGCACATCTGGGGCCTATTAGTGGCCCGGGCAGCTCTCGGGGGTTCCCTGGGCGGGGTGGGGGCGGCTTGGCTGGGAGCAGGCAGGCCGGGCTCTCCTGGACTTCTGACGGTCAATGTTAGGCATGTTATGGGAATCTGTTTTTTGTTCATTAAAAACAAAAAAAAAGGAAAAATGAGACTATGAAGCTTGAGGAGCCTGTAATCCCGCCCCCCACCCCCACGCTGCCCAGCCTGGGTGGGACACACGGGACCTTGGCTCTGGACTTAACAAAAGGGAGGGCTGGGCTCAAGAAAGCCGGGCTCGGTGGCTCATGCCTGGAGTCCTAGCTACTCAGGAGGCTGAGACCCAAGGATTGGGGTTCAAAGCCAGCCGGGCAGTAGAATCCATGAGACTAATTATTAAACTCTCTAGTTAACCACCAAAAAGAAAAAAACAAAAACTGGACGTGGAGTTATGGCTCAAGTGAGAGAGCACCAGCCTTGAACACAAAGCTCAGGGACAGTGCCCGGGCCCCGAGTTCAAGCCCCAGGGCCGGTACGCATGCTCGCATGCTCACACGCATACCCTTTGGAAAGCAACCTGTCTCAGAGAGGTTGGGGGCCTGCCAGCGTCACACAGCGCCACGCACCTTGGGTCCTTATGAGTCTGCTGTCCCTGCTGCTGGCCTCCTGCGGGGGCTGCTCTGTGTTTCCCCAGCCCTGGGCCTGGGCAGCGGTAAGGGTGAGGGCTGGGAGCGGAGTGGTGGGAAAAGGGGGCTCAGCCTGGTATGGGGGTTCTGTGCAGCCCTGGCAGACCACTACCTGCCAGACTTCCCTTTGCCTGCCTGTGTGGTGTGTGTGTGTGTGTGTGCACACATGTGTGTGTACCCCACAGTGCCAGCCCTGGCCCCGCCTGGGGCACTGGGGGACACAGGGATGCTCACCGTGTGGGGGTTTGGGGGAGACATGCTGTCTCCCCCAGCTCTCCCCCCACTCCCCCACCCCAGCCCCCGCCTGCGCTGATGACAGGCAAGCAGC